ACCCTCGGTGGGGGCGCCCCCGCGCTCCCAAGTGGCGCACTGTAGCAGTGCGCCACCGGGCCGGCCCGAAATCATACTATTTTTAAGCATATATTTTATTTTTATTTTAAAAGCTCTACATTCACTGTTTAAGTGTAATAGAAGGTCAATTCATTCCTCTAGAATATAAATATTCTATATTCCTTCTGGAATATGGCATTTAATGGACCATACGATAGAGCATTTCTCCTGATTCTTCACACAGTTTATGTGGCAAGCGCTCTCCTAACCTTCATATTCCCGTTCATCATTTCTCTTTGCCACCAGTTCCACAAGATCATACTGCCTCCTTCAGCCTCTGTCTCCCTCAGGAACATGGCACTATTGAGGAAGGGCCCCTCTTCTGCCCGTTTCATTCCTAGGCTGATGGACTGATGGGCTGTGTCCCTAGGAGTTAGTAAAATACAACAAAAGTAGCTATGATAAAGTTATGGTATATGCAGTTTCATTATAGCAAGACAGTCTTATAATATAGGCAAGAAAAACCTCAATTTTGGAGTTACACAAGGAGGTAAGAATGCCAGTGTCTCCTCTCCCTAGAAGTAGGACATCAAGCCCATAGAAGAGATTTCATGATAGTCTGTCTTATAGTTCAAGAAAAGTGTTGTACATGAACAAAGAAGGTAAAACTTGACGTGAAATACATGAATGTGTCTCTAGTGAGTGGTAAGTTAGATTCTCTGTAGAAATTTGTTTAAAAAGCTGGCCAAGAAGGTTGAGGGTTAGGAAATATTACCTTTTGGCCAGGTGAAATCTAGAAATGGTTGCCAAAAAACAACAAACAAAACCAAAATTGTTAGGAGTATTGCATTTGTTTTCTAGATTATGAATGTGAAGGTTTGGGGTGTGTGCATGCGTGTGTGTGTGTGTGTGTGTCCTATATCTATTGAATAGCTCAATTTCATAATACTTAAGTATCTGGAAACTTACCATTATGCCGCTCACCTACTAGAGAAAATTGGGAGTATAACAGAAGAAATAATGGCTGGAACCTATTTTTTTTCTTTTTCTTTAAATTCCCCAATCTATATCAATGATAGAGAGCAGTACTATGATTTTAAAATAGTCTGATTCTATCAGTATAAGCCCTTGCTTTAAAAAGGCCAGTCTTGTACCATTCTATTGATAATTGTTTTTAATCCAACATCAGATTCAAAGACTTTTGAAGGAAAGATTTTGTTAGTGTTTCAGGTTATTTTTTCTTTTACTTTTTTTTTTTTTCCTTTTTGTCCTTTTTCGTGACTGGTAACGGGATCGCAACCCTCAGTGTCGCGCCCGTACCGCGACCGGCAATGGGATCGCAACCCTCGGTGTCACGCCCGCACCGCGCTCAGCCAGTGAGCGGACTGGCCTCTATGGGATCCGAACCCTCGGCGGGAGCACCACCGCGCTCCCAAGCGCCGCACTCTACTGAGTGCGCCACCGGGCCGGCCCTTATTTTTTCTTTTACTTTATTTCTATTGCAGAGAAACCAAATGTAATTAAAAGGAACAAATAAGTAAACCATATATTGCTGACACTAACAAGACCTAAATTAGGTTAATCTTGTATGTTTTTGAATTGATTATCTTAAGGGGGAAAAAATGAATGGATTTACAGAGAATATTGCTCAATTCAATTGGCAGGTTGTTTCCAGCATAATATACAACCTCTTTTCTCTTTAGGAACAATATATTATCTAGATACCCATATGATGAACAGTAGGTCAACGGTAACAACATGAGTGATAAACTTATCCTTGTGTGTTCAACACTGCAGATTCTGTTATGAAAATATATAAGCTGCGGGTGATCATTTTTTTAATGGGATCTAAAAATACTCTTCTTTATAATTTAATTTAAATATCTGAGAAAGGCTTGTTATAACCTTAAAATTACTATAATTTAAATTATGTAGAGAGGGTTTATTCATATATGCATTTATCACTTAGAATATCTTCAACTTATCTAACACATATTACACAGCAGAGGTAACACAGAACTATGGCTTTATATTAAAATGATCCAGGCATTTTGACAGTTTGCCTAATTGTGCCTATTTTAAAATAATTTTATATATCAGAGCAAATCAACCAGCTAAGTTTACTGAATTGTACAATTTCTTTTCCTCAAAGGATACTATGTGAAACTGTAAAGGACTTCGTTGCCAAAGTAGAGAAGGCATATGATAAAACGTTGGAAAATGCTGTTGTAGCTGATGCTGTGGCCAGTAAAGTAAGAGAGATACTTCAGCACATGAAAGTCGTTTACTGACAGTGGTAACATTGAACTGTGTTTTAAAGCTAAACTGATTAAGTGGTTTTCCTGCTAACACATCTTAAATCAGGACAAAAATTACTTTTGAATGAGATATGAGGATTTTAAAAGATATTCTATTTTATGGTTACCCTTTAGTATGTAGGAAAACTGCATTGCTCAAAACCACCTGACACACTGAATTTTATAACTCATATCCCTTTCCTGGTGATTGACATCTTGTAGGGGAGAATGCTGTGCAGCCAGCGTCCCGTGGAGAGAGCAGTGGCTTTCCGTTTCCAGGCAAACTTTGGCCATTCAAGCTCCCTCCCAACACAGTTCCTTGGATTCCCTAGACGTTACAGTCGTTGGTATCTTTCAGAGTTCTATTTCTTACATTGCCTTTTTCTTTAGAGACTTTTTTCCCCCTTCATAAGCTCTCTGACACTAAAATAAGAACAGTTTACTTAACCTGAAAAGCTACTGTCTTTGCTTTCAGAAGTTCATGACAGGGCATTCTTACAAAAGGCTTGGATATTTGGGGCTTCAAAGGAATTCATTCCCCCAGATTCATGCTGTAGATGGTGGTTTAATTGAGTGGAAGGAAAAGAAAATGGAAATAAACAAACATTTGAAGTTTACAGCCTCTTTCTCCTGTCTTGTACTCTGTGGAGAGTTTCAGAAGACAGAAACCCTCCCTAGCCACATGTTTGTTTCTGAGCTATTCCTACTTAGTCTTGGTATGTCATCAGAGACAAATAAATGGGGGAGGAAAGGACTGGAAATTGTATGGAGACAAAAGGTATACTAGGAGTAGTATCAACAGCTTCAGTCCTAAGTGTTTCTTCACCCCTGGTAATACAAGGAAAGCAGAAAGAAACAAGGGCCGAGTGCTTGTTTTTCTTGCAGTGTCTCTTTCCCCTCCTTGTGCGTTTTCCTTATTGCTCTTCCTTTGAGCCAATAATCTCTTAGGCACTGTTCATTTTGCAAACCAAAGCTTCAAAGGTAAACTTGCAGCCAGACCTGCAATTTATGATGCTCAAAATGCCATAAGTCAATTACTTAAAAAAAGTTTATCTAATGTTTTGTATAATGTATAGCAAATTTTATATAATATATAGTATTTTTGTGTAGTATATCACTTTAAAGTGTTTGTTGTGTTCTTTTAAGGAAAAATCTCTGTACAAAAGTTGTAAAGATTTTTACCCATGAAATGGAGTCTGAATGGTTGAGGAAGTATAAATCAATGAGTTTACATAAAAATTGTGCTATATTGTTTTTTAAAATGATTATTTAGCCCATAAGTCTAAAGTATAAATAATAAATAGCCAATTAATAGTAAACATCAACATAGGCATCTTTCCCCTAAAACAAAAACCATTCATTTTAATTATCGTTTTCCATCTCCACTAAATGAAG